CACACCATTCTCAGAGAGCACCAGGGACCCCATGGTAACTCTAAAGCCTTACATATAAAATGTCCCTGGTTTGAAACCAGCAGTATTTTTTCAATTAATGTTTTTCTTTCTTTGAGTCACATATTTTTCTGAAACATTTTTTCATTAAAAAAAGGAATTCAGTAGCTCAGGAAATGAAAATAGCAATGTAAAAGAAAATATTTCTACTGAGTTTTGAGTCAGGAATATTTTGCACATCAGGCAAGGGTTATAACTGTTATCCCAGTAAGAAACATCTGTTGTCACAGCATCTGCAGCAGATGTTACAGAGGGAAGATGAAAGAAAGGAATTTCTTTCCAGCAGCAGGGGAATTAATCATGGTAGCTTGAACTCTAGAATGAATACCTTGCAAGCATCTCAGCCTGGACAGGACTGTCTTAAATTTAGTTTGAAGTTAAATCAATGAGAGCACAGCATAAGGGTGCCACATAAATATGCCCGATATGTGAATTTTGTATTTTTATGCTATGGCACATTCTATCATTGGCAAACAATATTAGGGCCTACTAGAATGACAGCTACTGTCTCTGTCTCCTCCTTGAGTTTCAAACCATAGATTAGCATTATCCTTCAGATATCTTGGGCCTGGGACAATAACATTAGCTCACCATCTTTAACAATGGTAAAATCAGAGTCAGAATCTGTGAGTCTGTTTATTCTTTGGAAACACTGAATACTTAATCTGAAAAATTTATAGATTAAAAACTAATTCCAAATACAATTTAATTCTAATTTGCTTTCATTGCACTAAAGTTCTTGTATGATGACTATACAAAAAAAAAACCTAACCCTAAGTCTTTAGATGAGTCATTTTTAATATTGGAAGCCAATATGCTTATCTTTCTAGGGAAAAACCATACAATGCCTCTAGGAAAAATCCAAATGCAATTATTGCAAGTATTTGTATATTATGGGCAAAAAAATCTTCCTTTTTAGATTCCAGTTCAATCCACAGATCTATATTTTATTTAAAATAATGCAAGACCTAGTAGTAGACTTTGAATCTTGATTTTAAATAAGTAGAAAATGGCAAATATATTTATAACTAGATATTATGAAAAGTAAATGGAGACAAAATCATAGGCAGAAATCCTTAATTATGGAGGGTGGATATGTGTAAATTCACTGTCCTGCTTTCTTCATTAAACAGACTGGCATTGTCTCTGATCCACATCTGGACTGTGGAGATAACCCATGGATGCGTGCGTGCGTGCATTCGTGCGTGCGTGCATTCGTGCGTTCGTACATACATACATACATACATACATACATACATACATACATACATACATACATACATAATCAACCCATGGATCATTATATTATTTCTGTATTTTAGGTTGTTGGTTCCCAAGCCAGAATTCTGTATTCTGATCAAAAAGGCCGTGTTGCTATTGCAGTGGCTATTAACAAAGGCATTGCTGAAGGAAGAATTAAGGTACAGTTCTTCTGTGTTTTTATTCAACGTAACCTGTTAATTTTCTTTGACATGTTAGATTGATTTGGAGATTGAAAAGGTCATATTGAGAGAAATAGAGTAGATGATGGGACAAGAATGTTTCTTATAAAAATGCAAACCATGTAAAGTCAAAGAATTTCCAGTAAAGTAACAAAGACTAATTGTTTGAAATGAGTGCGACTATAATATAATATTAACCATAGGTTGTAAACATATCCCATGTTGTCAGATTACTGAATAATTTCTTATTGAAAAACCTCACAGTATTTCCTAATTTAATGAAGGGAGGTCTTGTGTGCTTCCTGATTCTTTCATTATACAGATGAAGTGCAGAGCCCCAAGACCAAATTCAACCTCTCAATCTACATTTTACGGCTTCTGAAACTATCAGTTTTCAGGTGCATAATTTCCCAGCTTTTCTGGCACTAAAAATGCAAATATCAAATTGCCGATTTCCCTATTCTGGAACTTTACCTGAAACAGAACAATTGATCTCTTCATCTAAATGAACAGAATTATGCCAAGGAGCCTAGTTGATGCCCCTCTATATTTTTTCCCTATAAACCTGTACTTCTTTTTCAGGCACCAGTTGTTCTTAGTCGAGACCACCATGATGTGAGTGGGGCAGACAGTCCTTACCGAGAAACCTCAAATATCTATGACGGTTCTGCATTTTGTGCAGGTTAGCTGAATAGATTGCAAGTATTTCTAGTAAACAGAATTTCTATACGATGAACAACTATATTTCATGCCTATAACTGGTTTACCTTTTGATGTAAAGATTTCATTTCCCATAATGGTTGCTTGTAAATCAAAAACTGCAGCACCTTGGAGAGTAATCCTGCTGTTAGTTCAGGTGCAATAAGTAGACAGAAAAGGTAGTAATTAAACATAGTCAGTGAGAAATTGCATCTTGCAAGATGAGATGCAGCAAAGAGTTAAGGGGGTAAAAGGGGAGGGGAAATCTGTATTTGAAGCCTGAACTACAGAAAATATTTAGAAGAAAAGAGACATAGGAGTTCTCTGCTGGTAATCTTTGGGCCAGAAGGAAACCAGGAAAAAGAGGGATTAGAATGGAATATTTTGAATCCAAGAATATTCCAGACTGTAACATCTTGTAATAGGGATCAAAGTAACCTTAATTATGTGTAATCTGAACGTGAGACCAAGATAGTTCTAGACTTGCCAAATAGAACAGAAAGCAAAATGTATTTTAAAACAAGAAATTTCAAACAATAGCAATAGCTTTTAGGCTTATACAGAGCCCCATAGTGTTTTACAGCACACTGTGGGCAGTTTACAATGTAAACATTATCTGCATATTGTCCCCAACAATCTGGGTCCTCATTTTATGAACCTCAGAAGAATGAAAGGCTGCCAACCTTGAGCCCTATCAGGATTGAACTCTGGGCTGTGAGCAGAGTTTACTACAGTACTACAGTTTAACCACTATAACACCAGAGCTCACAACACACTTTTTCCTACTTCCAGTTGTCTAACTGAACCTACTGGAAATCTCAGATGGTAGTCCTACCCACTTTTTGCATTTGATCATCCCTGCTGCTGATTTAAACTGCTGATTTAAATAGATCCTGGTTTTATTCCAATATAAATTCCGAACCAAGTTTCTCTCTCTCGAATGAACAGCGACAATATTTTTTAGATTAGCACAATCATAGCAGCCAATAGTTTGTGACATTCAGGACAGCAAAATCTCAAAAGTGAAGTTATGTTCCTACTTCCTGATAACTCTTCAGGATTGAAAGAATTTTTTGGGGTCATTTTATTTTCATATCGACTAGGTTGTTATGAGAATGTTTGAGCTGGTTTGGTGTAGTGGTTAAGACATGAAGTCTAGAAACAGAGAGACTGTGAGTTCTAGTCTTGCCATAGGCACAGAACCAGCTAGGGCCAGTCACTTTCTCTCAGCCCTAGAAAAAAGGCAATGGCAAAACACTTCTGAAAAACCTTGCCAAGAACATTGCAGGGACATGTCCAAACAGTCTCTGAGACTTGGACTTGATTGAACAGAAGAAGAAAAAAGGGAGGACATATTTAGCATCTGCTTCTCTGGCTCAGTAATGCCCTGACAACGGCATGCAGGGTAGGGAATGGTAATAGATATTTTTTTTTTAAAAAAACAACAAGATGGTGGTCACAGCAGCACAATCAAACCACTACCTTTTCATGCAGATTACATCCATTCATGTACAAAATGGGTAGGTCTTCAATCATGCTGTCATGACTGCCAGCTTGCAGTTTTTGACACACACACACCTGGCACCAGAGTTCTTTATTGAACCTTCTCATCATGATGCTTCTAATAGCCAGCATAGCTTGTGTATGACTGAAACCCAGCTTAAACATCCAGCTATTAACTGGTAAGCAGTGGAGAAAGATTTTTAAATATTTTTTTGCATTCAATGGTGCTCAGGCTAAATAGGATGTTTTAATTCTAAATGAGTAATTCGGATAAATGTAAGAGATATTTGGGAGAAGCAAAAGGTCTCATGGACTTATTGTTGTTTGTATCAGTGGATATGGAAGATTTATTTATTTTCTAGATTTGTATCCCTGGGAACTTCTCAGTGTCCCATTTTCTCAGAAGAGAAACCCTCTAGACTTTAGACTTTGGATTAAAAATAATAATAATAATAATACAAGAGAACCAGCAATACCTGAATAGAGCTCATGAAGTGCTGAAACAAAACCTTTGCCCTCCCCCCCAATTCTTGAAAGAAAGATCTTTCTTTTCCTTTACCATTGAATGCTGTTGTCTTGTCTTTCTTTTTCTTCCCTAACAGATATGGCTGTTCAGAATTTTGTAGGAGATGCATTTAGAGGAGCAACCTGGGTTGCCTTACACAATGGTGGTGGTGTTGGCTGGTAAGGAGATTTTTGCCTTCGAAGGGGAAAAAAGATGAGCAATGGAAGCTATAGGCAGATGGAAAGATATATGATGTTGCAGTTGTTTATTGCAACAAAATGAAGTTTTGCTGAGGAAATCTGATATGGTTTACTTCCCTAAATGTGTTCTCCAGCAATATTGAATTTTATCTCCCAAACAGTTGGAGAAGGTAGGCTACTTCATGAAATATGTCTCTTTTCCAAATTCTGGCAGTATTTCTTTGATTATTATTATTATTTTTGCAGCTGATGATTACATTTTTCTTATTTTCTTTTATTTGGCAAGTTTATCATTGATCTTCACTGATTCTTAAGAAACCCAAAAGTTCTCTTGAACATACTGGCTTTAGGATGGAAAGACAAATTAAAATATTAAAAAAATGTAAATACCAAACAATTGTTCAACATGAAAGTCATATATGTTCTGGGCCTTGAATTACCTCAGGTTAATATGTTTATTGATGAAATGATTGTAGAATCTTCATTCAGCCAATGGCTCCTTTCATTACTGATTATGTTTCAACTATATCCAACCTTTCAGAATGATATGTGAAAGGATCATTTTTAAAACGATCAACTTCACTTAATTAGGAGAATTCCCATCTACCAATATGGATGGACAATTTCCCCCTCTCCTCTCAAATATGATACTTTAACTATCTCCTAAGTATTATTTTAAATTTATTTTCTAGTATCCCATGTTACTTAGGCAGTGACCATAGCACTCTTTGGAAACCTCAATTTATGAAGCAAAAAACCAGGTTTCCGTAAGATGTGTAGGTGAATTAAATTAGCATTCATTTCCAATTCTGTATTCTCGCATCGGCCTTCAAAGGATCTGTGAAGGAGTTGTGCATTTAGATTCCCATCAAACAACATTTACATCTGTGAATTTGGACTTCAATATAGCATCCCCATATGCTAAAGGCAGCAGGATTTGCTGCAGGCATGAAATCCACTTACCTTCGCTACTGGTTTGGAACCGTCTGTGATGATGTCTGGGCAGGTGGGCGGAGCCTCCTGCCACCGCTACTATAGATTCATTCGAACTGGGGTAAACCGGCAGAATACCACCTCTGATTTGCTGACATAAAGCAGATCAGGTGTACAGCCATCTTTTTCCTTGCTTCTGTCCGTAATTGTTTTTAGTGTGTTTTTTAAAGAGCATAAGAGGAAGAACTCATTTGAAATTTTGGTCATTCTGAGCTCCTCACATCTGCCATTTAACAGTAGTGGTCTTTCCAGGGGACCTTCAAGTAGAAATTTGAGGCTCTATTGGGTGGGTTAAGCATTAGCCTCTACGGATGAGAAGAGCAGCTGACTGTGTTTTGAAGGACATAAATAATAATAAAATACATTTAAAAAGCATCTGCTTCCTCTTTAACAAGTTCATTAAGCCCAAGGACTAAAAGGACTTGTAAAAGCTACAACTCAGTCCTCCTGCCTTGCTGCAGCTGTAAGAGACTTTTGAATGCCATGTGGATGTCACCAGTAGTGAAAGCCCAAACAAATGTGAGCTTTGTTTGGAAGCTTAATAAGATTTAAAGGTAGAATTGAGAGGAATGAGAAAGAAGCAGACATTCCCATTCTTACTCTTAAAAATCATGCAGCTCCTCCCCCTGAAGAGTATTTGCCAAACTCTGGCAGTACAATTTTGTCTAATTCTTTCATAATTTCTTTAGAGCAGTTATGGGGGAATAGGAATGATTTATTTCCCAGTAGTTTTCTGTTCTCATTCTTTATGTTTGAAGAGAACAAAAGTTGGAAATAGTCTACGGCTGGAAACTGGGCAGTCTGTTGCTCAATTTTAATGAGATGATCTTTAGGTGCTTGGGACCATATACAGTTCATGGCACATGAGTTGCCTATCATTGCTTTAGAGAACAGACATGTTAGTTGAAGTACTTCCACAGGGTTTCTCCAATTCCTTGGACTATTTTGATTCCATGATCCAAGCTAAGTCAGTCACCAGGACCAGAGGTTTCGTCTTCCGAGCTTTCAGATTCGTGCTGGAGCCCATCTTTAGGAAACCTGTCTCTAGTAGTGTGTGTGCTGTTCATTTACAACAGGCACTGTAAATACCACACAGGGAACAGCACATGCTCTGCTAGGGAGAAGTTCTCTGAAGTATCCAGTAGCTCGAAGGACAAAGCCTCTGGTCCCAGTGACCTATCCAGATTGGATCATGCAACATTATCCTGGGACACCTTTTTGCCTTCGTTCATATTTTGATTCCATTTGATTCCATAAAGAGCTGGCCTGTTGGGATGAAAGGGAATTTTATGACAATGAAATAGGAAGACACTGTTATATATGGTATCAAATCTTTGACTACCTGGCTCAGTATTTGTTACATTAGCTTTCCTCATTAGCTTTTCCCTTGGTGGTGGTTCTGGCAGCAGACAAACACACTAATAGGGTCAAAAGTAATCATTTGTGTTGTTCAGAATCCTTACCCACTTTGTTTATAAGGCACCTTTGTGTCTCTTGTCCCTATGCCAGAGAAAGTCTGGCAAGGTTTCATCTCATCAAAAATTCTTTCCCTTGGCCAAAAAGGAAAGTAGCAAGGAATTCTGTAACAGAGATGCTTGCTTTTTCAGTGGCCTTTTCTCCCCAGCATCTTTTATGATTAGATAGGCAATATGGGTGAATCACATGGTGGCAACAGGAAGGGCATCTGGCCAGTAAACACTCAGCTCCATTCAGTTGCCCATAGTCCACTCTGCAAGGGATTATGTGCTCATTAAAAGATGATGATGATGATGATGATGATGATGATGATGATGATGATGATGATGATGATGATGATGATGGGCGAGGCACATAGGGTTTTAGCCTTCCCATGATAGCACTGACTGGGTAGTGTTCATTTACTCCTATGAAAGACTGACTCTGCCTTGGGTTAAATATAACTGGGGTTTTTTGTGTATGTTTTATGCTGTGCACTTAAATGTGCAAGGACAACAAAATAATGTTTTGTGATTTGGAGATGTAAATTAGTAAGTACACTACAGCATATTTGGCCAGTGAAAACCAGACAATCACTACACTGCAGCAAATGTGTTTGTAGCTATCCTGGATTATTGCAGCTCAGGTATGCTATAATTATTCTGGGTGCCCTAAACTTAAGGGTAGACAAAGTGAGGCTTTTGAACTCCATCCGACCCCCATTTGTGTATACATGCCCTTGAGCTGTCTCTGAACAATTGCCCCAAATTGTGAGTATGCTTAAAGGCAAGAAACCCCCCAAAAGTAGACATATACACCATTCCAAATTGATTCATCTAAGCACCATACCCCCAAAATTGCCTAAAAATCAAGAAATGGTGTTTTAAAAAAAATCCTCTTGCTTTTGCCCATATGCATGACAATGACCCCTCTGTTTTGCACTACCTTTTAAGAAATTTGTTTTCTTCGCGTTATCTCTATTTTACTTTAAATGCATTTTCTCCTGATAATGCAGAAGCAAGAGAAATTATTTCGACGTGACTTGCAACAACTAATTTGACATCATCACAGTGGAATTTCAAACCACTGTGCAATAAACTTAAATAGGTTTGTCTTAAATCGTCTGGACTTTAAGGCAACAGCTACTTAATCTCAGACACGTTGGCATTTTCATTATTTGTCTGAACAAGTACATTTTAGATGGCGCAGTGCTCAGGGGAACTGCAGTAGGCAGGCTCAAAAACCCTTGTCATTCACACTAGGATAACAATTGATCTGGTAGAGTACATTATACGGCATACATTATAAAACTAATAAAGACAATAAAACGGTTGTCTCCTTATCCCATATTAAGAATCTCATTTCTTCTCATACACCTTAAGAAATTTCCAACATTGAAATTACCTAATTTTAGAATGGAAAGCCTCCTTAGAGGTCACCATCCATGTGTTTTGCTGCCCACCCAGAAGGAAAGGGGAGGGGGTGAGGGAAGCAGAGGAATAAATCCAGTCAGACTCCTACTCTGTGGGAGAAACTTGCAGTACTAACATTCCCGACAGATGACTCAACAGCACACTTACAGTAATTATACCTAATTTCTTTGGCACATGTAGTAGTTATGCTTTTCTAGAACAATAATTCTACTTTTCCAAGATTTGGGGTAATTTAAAAATGAATGGCCTATAATGGATCTAGAGTCCTACAGGCTAGCTGGTGACTTAAAGTATTCCATAATAACTAAAAATAACATAATAACAACCAGCTAAATATGAGCCAGCAGTATGCAGGGGCAGCCAAAAAGTCAATGGCAATCCTAAGTTGCATTAACAGAGGTATATAATCAAGATCAAGTGAGGTACTAATACCACTCTATAAAGCCCTACTAAGACCACACCTAGAGTACTGCATCCAGTTTTGGTTACCACACTATAAAAAAGATGTTGAGACTCTAGAAAAAGTACCGAGGAGAGCAACCAGAATTATATACCTCTGTTAATG